AAGCCAGCCTGGAGCCCTGCAGCGCGGCCAGCCTGGAGCCCTGCACCGCGGCCAGCCTGGAGCCCTGCGCCGCGGCCAGCCTGGAGCCCTGCACCTAAGCCAGCCTGGAGCCCTGCACCTAAGCCAGCCTGGAGCCCTGCACCGCGGCCAGCCTGGAGCCCTGCTCCGTGGCCAGCCTGGAGCCCTGCACCTAAGCCAGCTGTTAACAAAGCAAGGGAAACAAGGCATTTCCTGACACGCCACGTTTGAGCAGGGCTGGGTATTTTCATAATAATCTTTGGGGGACTATTTGACCTTTCCAATACCATACATGTAATATAATACCAAAAAAAATCATTTCATAAAGAAATGAAAACGTAAATTGTTAGACAGGAAAAATAAGTTCAAGAGATCTACTGCACAGCGTGGTGACGATAGCAAGTAACAAGGTCTTGTATTTTGAGGATTATTAAGAGTAGATTTTAAGTATTCTCACCACAAAGTACATTAGGAAATGTAATTACCTTCATTTAGTCGATCAACAATGTATGTGTATTTCAAAACATCACATTGCACATGATAAATATACACTATTTTTATTTGCCAACAAAAAACAATCAAGTAAAATATCAAATAAAAAGAAAAAATACACGTATTATAAACATGCACTTAAGACAGAAATTCATCACGCCAAATTCCCTCTTCATAGCACAGTAAAATCAGAAATAGCTTCTAAAACAGAACCTAATGGTCCTAAGACTAAGGAGATTAAACCCTCTCGTCTCTGGAAAGTGCAGTGAAGCTGGCCCACTGCAGTGTGGCAGGATAAGTATAATAACCCTTTCAGAAGGCAATTGGGTGGCACATTTCAAATCCATAAAAACATTTGTGCACATTTGTCTCACTGAAAGAGCTACTGGGAATATATACTAAGGAAATAGTCCAAAACAAAGAACATCATTTCTTGGTGACAATCAGTACAATTATTTATAATAAAAAAGGATGAGTAACCGAAGGTTCAAAGCACAGTGTAGAGAAATTATGTCACATCAGCTTGACAAAATATCATACATTGGACGTCCATTAAGAAACTAGCACAGCATAAACATGTTTATGATACAGTAATAAGTAAAAATTAAAAACACAGGGATGACTAAGTTGATTAGGATACATCAGTGTGATAGAGTATTAGACGAAAGATTTAAATGATCATTATGAAGACTATAGACACATTTTTAAAAATCCTAATGTTATAAGAAAATGAATGAAAACTAAAAAATATGGCAAAGGAAAGAAATATGAGAAACATGACTCGTGGATTTGCTGTGAACAGGAGCGAATATGTTTTCCTACTACCCTCTCTCCCTTCCATCTGTCAGGACTCTTGGGGAAGAGAGTAGCTCTAAGAACTTGGCCTAGGAAAGGTTAAAGAAAAGCTCTCGTTTCAAAGCTTTGCCACACTATTATTGACCAGGGACAGAACAGTCCCTTTTGTTTTTTCTGTTTTCTTTTCTTTTCCCTTCTGTGTAGAAAACTCCAAAATGGGGCTTTGTAAAAACTAGACCCGACCCTCCCACCACCCGTTGGTCTGGAAGGAGGGGACTGAAGAGTAGGAATGTGAGAGATGCCTGCTGAGAGAGAGACTTTGGGTTAAGAAGGGACACTAGAGAACTCTCCAGAAGGTAGGGAGGGGAGAAGAAGCTGGGCAACTGGCAGAAAATCGGGACTGAAACAACTCTGCCAAAATCTCCAGTGGGAGAGAGGGAGTAGGACACTTTTTATAAACAATGATGCCACAGTTTTCTCTTTCCCTTCCCAGAAAGATCCCTCCCCAAACAACTGTCTATGCATCCACCCTCCCGGTCACTAGCAGTCCCCCTTAGACCACTCTGCCTAGACCCTGTGGCCTCTATGTCCAGCTATTCAGAAACTACTTTTATCACAGGCACCAATGACCTCCATATTGTCGAAGCCAGGGATCACTCTTCTTTTGCCCTCAACTGACTCAATTTCAGCAGTGTTGACACTGCTGACCTGACCTTCTGTGAAGGGCCAAGCTTCTCCTGGCCTCCTCCTGCCTGTCACATCCCCTACCTTTGCCATCTCAGTTGCTTCCTCATCGTCCCTCCAACTTTAAACTTGAAGCTCTCTGACCCGGCCTCCTTAGTGTCCGCCGCGTCCCATGACTCTACTCCACTCAGGCGCCTGGGCCTTCCACGCAGGCATCTCCAACCAGACAGTGCTGAGACGCAGATAACATGCAGTCGCCTGCCTCACTTCTTCACTTAGATGCCTCTTCAAACTTCACATCCTCTTATACACATGATCCTCCATCAGTGAAAATTTCTACACACAGTGGCTAGAAGTAATCCCTGATTCCATCCCTACCCCTTTCAATCCATCACAAGTCTTTAATTCTTGTGAATTAAACAGATGTGGACACAAGTTCAAATTCACAGCATTAGCATAATTCTCAATTTGATTATATGCAGCCAAAGGTGAGACAGAGCTGGAGTAAAAAGAGTGGATAAAATCTATCCTGTTCTCTCCTGTGTAGATCTTACTTGTCTCCTCTGCGTCAGATAAAGTCTAGTTCATTTTAAATAGCAGTGATCACTATAAGGGTATATATCCTTATAAACTAACCAACATAAAGCTATATGAGAAGTCAGTTCATAACAAAATAATTTCATAAACACAACCTGGGCGCTTATATTTTTTACATATTTAATTAAAGGACTTAAGATTATTGAATGTTATGGTATTTCTTAACTTAGTTATTATGAAATTGACTATAACAAAGTAAAAACAGCAAAAAATAGGAAATGCATAATTTTGGAATTTTTTAAAGAAAAAACTCTGCGTTATCACTATGTGTAAGACTTCATCAGAATAGGGAATGTATTAAAACCATGTTAATTTAAAGGTCATTTATTAAAGTGTCTGGGATAGTCCAGGCACAGTGGCTCATGCCTATAATCCCAGCTCTCTGGGAGGCCAAGGTGGGTGGCTTGCTTGAGCTCAGGAGTTCGAGACCAGCCTGAGCAAAAGTGAGACTCTGTCTCTACTAAAAAAAAAAAAAAATAGAAAAACTGAGGCAAGAGGATCACTTGAGCCTGAGTTGGAGGTTGCTGTGAGATACCCAGGGCGACAGGTTAAGACTCTGTCTCAATAAGTAAGTAAATAAATAAATAAAGTGTCTTGGATGCTAATTTTAACCTTCATTTAATATAACTATAAACCTCAGTGAAGCATTTGAGCTTACCTTTGAGCCGGGAGGGGGAGCCAAACCGAGGAAGGAATAGATAATATTCTCTTCTTTTGCAGAGAAGAAAGAGTCAAAATCCTTAAAGCAAAGAAAAAGAAAGTTTAAGCCCACTGCACACTTGTGAGCCAGCTATTTACCCCAATTGATCTTTTTACTTATGAATCATTAAGAGCTAACACAAAAGGTCATAACTGTTTGTTTTGTCAAAGATGACAGGCCCCAAAAGTTGAGAAGTCTGACCGTGAAACTGACATTTGTGTGTCTGCACTTTCACCTACACAGCACAGCACAGCGAGAGTCCACGGGGACACAGACTGCTCGCTGCAAGGACGGCTGACGAGACCCCAATGTACACGGTAAATGGCTTTTAGCTGGTTACTTATAACCTGGCCCTGTGGGTTTGGACCCCCCTCAGCCCAGACTGAGACAACACAGGATGCCCCTCCTGTTACTAGGGCAGCGCTAAGGGCCAAACTCATCTCAGCCATCCGAAAGAGCCACCACCAAGACCGTGTCGGGGAGGGGACGCATACACTCTACCATACTTTCTAGGAAGAGGCCATTCCAGTCTCACACAAACTCTACCAAGGACTTCTGATCAGGAGATAAACATCATACAGTATTTAAACATGGAAGGTTTAAGAGGAAGATTTTTGTCAATAAGAGAAGAACAACAAAGGAGTAAAGAGAACAGTAAGGACGACCCGAGGCCACGGGAGAGCAGCCGGGGAAGGAATAAACTCGGAAGGGGGCCCTTCCCAAGTCTAGATTCAGAACTCACAGGAGAAGGTGTGACTGCACCCCAAACCAAGTGGAGGAATCTACTGGGCTGTCCTCGGCCAGAGCTGGTCCTAAGGCACGGAGCAAACAGGAAACACCTTTGTGGGTGCAGGTGGGCCAAGGCCAGCAAGCTAGCACACCGGGGAGGCAGAGCTTCGGGAGCTCACTTGCTGGCCAGGTGTTGGGAACCCTGGGCTGTGCGGTCCACATCAGATGGACCATGATGAAGTCCTCAGGCAGGGCTAGAGCTGCAAGCTGTCTGAGGGGCTGTGTGCTCCGGGCATGTGATGGAGGTGGGGCAGCCCAGGGTAACCCCCCACACACACACAGGTA